GCGTGGTCAGCCCTGACCCATCTTCTCTCCCTGCTGGAGGAGACGCTGGCCCTGACACATGGGACTCCTCCCCCCCCCGCTACGCTCTGGTGGGGAAACTGGTCCTGATCTCCCGCTGCTCCTTTGGGAGTCCCCGCTGGCCCCTTGCTTCTGGTGCGTCCCCCCTGGGACCCCCCTTGCCCTGACCATCGGCGCCCCCTTCTGGGAATCTTCTGATTCGCTGGAGAGGCTCATGGAATCTCTCGGGTCACTGTCATTCTCCCCTCCGCTGCCCTCAGATTCTTCCCATTCGCTCTCCATTTCCTCTCTCCCCTGTGTCTCTGCTCCTGAGCCCCTGACAATTATTATTATAGATGACCCTTGGGGTCCCTTCCAACTCTTAATATTCTGGGATTCTATGATGTTTCATTTATATGCAGGTCACGTGTTTGGGATCTTTTATTTTAGAAAAGTAGAATGACTACCTGGTAACTGGGGAGGGAATAGTACTAAGGTTGATCAGATTATAAATGGTGTGGAGAGAGAGCATAGACTGAAAATTAGGGCCATCCAACGAAATAAGCCAGCACTCATTTCATAATAAACAAAAGGAAATACTACCAACATACTTAACTTTCAGAATTCATTGCTACTAGATATGGCAGTGGCTGTTGGTTTGGATACTTTAAAGAAGTTATCACACAAATGGAAGACAGGTCTACCAAAGGACTTACTAGGTATTATGACAAGCTAAAAGTCATCTCTATGATTAAAGGGTAGTGTACCTCTGATTGCTGGGGTCCCACAGAAGCCCCACCTACTATGTCAGGGCACACTTCTGGTCTTCCTAAGGCATCTGGCTGGCCATTGTTGGAGATGGAATATTGGACCCATTGTCTGATCCACCATCACAATCTTTGTGGTGCTGGTGGGCTGTTTAAGCTTTGTCAGCTCCAGCCAGCCAAGGCAATGGCCGAGCAGCCGAGCAGCCTAGCAACATACTGGGTGAGACACAGATGTCCCATTCCTACAGCGGAGATTCTTGGTAATGGGTTGGCCAATGCATGGTGAAATTTCTGGAACTACCAACAGTATTTACACAAATATATGCCGATCTGTGAGGGACGCGGGTGGTGCTGTGGGTTAAAGCCTCAGCGCCTAGGACTTGCCGATCGAAAGGTCGGCGGTTCGAATCCCCGCGGCGGGGTGCGCTCCTGTCGCTCGGTCCCAGCGCCTGCCAACCTAGCAGTTCGAAAGCACCCCTGGGTGCAAGTAGATAAATAGGGACCGCTTACTAGCGGGAAGGTAAACGGCGTTCCGTGTGCGGCTCTGGCTCGCCAGATGCAGCTTGTCACGCTGGCCACGTGACCTGGAAGTGTCTGCGGACAGCGCTGGCCCCCGGCCTATAGAGTGAGATGGGCGCACAACCCTAGAGTCTGTCAAGACTGGCCCGTATGGGCAGGGGTACCTTTACCTTTACCTTATGCCGATCTGTACCAAATTCTGTAAGTCGTTCATAATTTGTTCGTGTGCCACACCTGGTATTTGTTAGCCAAATCTCTTTCTCCCTGTACAGTCAGGTTAACTTGGCAAGGTCTGAACTGAAGCAACCAGGGCAGATTGTTACAATGCTTACACAAGGCGAGGGTTTGGTTTTTCTCCCACCATGGGCAACTTTTTGCATGCCTGTGATCAATTCTTTTAATGTTTTGTACCTTCCCAACACAAAAATAAAAGGGAACCTTCCCCACGACAAAATGTGATGCAATCCACTATTTATTTTGACTGATCATTCTTAGAAGAGCATAAGGAGCATCTCTCTTCTGAATGTCCTGCCTTAGAAAGGGCACTTTTTTCCTTATGCAAAGTGTATCTCCTGGGGTTCATTAGTTTTCCTTATTTTCTTTTATCAAATGATCATATCAAATGTTCCTTTACTGCAGTCACAGCTCTTTTCGACATAAGGAAAGCAGTTCTTTAATATGCAAATCTAAGAGACAAAGTTGGGTTTTTCTTGTATAAACCACAGGCATTCATAAAAAAGAAAAGAAATCAAGATCACACAGTTTTGTTTTCAGACTGTTTTCTTAACTGAGAGATAGCTGGGAGCCTGGTTTCTTTACAAAGGGCACCTTCACTTTCATGTAATCTAATAAACATTGCCAAAACACAACTCAGTTATAGGAACATTTCAGTGAAATTGCAGGCAGTGTGATGAACGTTGTATCAGCTTCTTATGGTCCCATGAAAATGGTGTTAGCGGAATTAATGGATCACTGGTTAGCCAACATTACCCTGCATATTCAGTTCTTAGGTTGCCTCTTAAGAAAGCTCTGAATGTGCATCAATTTCATCCCACTTGTTGCAGAGACTTTTTTTAGCTAAGATCTTCTAAATTATTTGAGCAATTAGTTCAGCCTTGTAAATAACCACTTGCCTATTTCCATTAGTAAATAAGAACAGTCACCAGCTGAGAAGTCAGGGAAGCTTTTGTTGAACTAAAAGAGAGTGGGTTCTTATTTTTCATGAAGGTTGCCAGTGAGCTGCAGAATTAGCAGTGTCCCTGACATTTAGCATTCTCTGCCTCACAATGTGAATCTCAGCAATTTTTAATCTTTGATTGCAGTTTCTGGCAAGAATTTAAGACCCCAGATTTCTGGGTTGTAATCTGAACCAGAGAAGTACTTAATTTGCTTTCCTATCCTTAAACTTCCTCATCCAACATCTCCTTTTTTTTCTTCCTTGGCTGCAGCAGCTGAGAGGAATCATGGGCCTGCCATTTAATAGATGCCATATTGACACACAATTTGCCTTTGAGCCACTGCTCACATTATGGGGAAACAGGAAGGAAAACCCTTCATGAAATCCACAGCCCCTAACTCACCCCATTTATATCCAAACAATTTATTCCATAGTGTCAGGGTTCAAGACAGAGGCACAGGTAACGAGAGCGATGAGGAAACCAACAGTGAGAAGAGGATGACAATGATTGAGGTCTTCCATATCTCTCAAGTGAATGGATCCCACCAGCAGGGGGGTCCAGGGACTAGGACAAAGTCACAACCCGATTGGGAGTGATATCCACAGGAACAATGAAGAGGGGGAGTTCCCAGTGTGACACACGGAGCGGAGCAGGAAAGAGACAGGGGAAGGAGATCGGGGCAGGACGTCCTGCCGGAAGAGGCGGAGAGTAGTACAGGGAGTAGTGTAAGTGTCAAGAGGAAGGTCAGGGGTAGCGAACGCGCGCCAAGTTCAAATGTGGAGGCGCGCGGAAATGGAGGAAGCCCGGAGGAGGAGCCTAGCCCCAAAGCACGAAGGAGGGGGGGAACAGGCATCTGAGGAATCCGCTTCAGGAGACAGCAGGAGGGAAGGAACCCAGGGGGGCAGGAAGACCCTGCGGAAAAGGAAAGACAGGAAGAGGTGGTCTAGCACAAGCCTCTTAAGCTGGTGTAGAGGCGGGACCGACTCAGAGGGGACTTCAAACGTCTAGGCTAAAAGACGCGGGGCTGCACGCCTCGGTTGTGGAACCAATAATGAACTGCAATAAACATCCTTGTATATAAGAAGAGCTTGGCGTTGGTCTTTTGTGAGCTGAGACCTGAGGCAGCCGCTGACACATAGCCTCCCCAAAAAGCAGTAGGTGAGCTTCCCCGCCCCACAAAAGGTAAAGGTACCAAGTACTGCTTGCCTTTACCCACTGAAATTCAAGAAATACATGCTTATCCTTGTCTGTGGCTGTGTCATTCATATCCTGCAACCTACCTTTTTGTTTGATCCTTACCAAGGTCTCTTTAGTTTTCACTAGGGATAGGAAATAAATTAAAACCTGTTCTCATTTGCAAGTGAATCTATCAAACCTCCACGTTCTGAAACAATATGAGAACCAAAACAGCTACCTTTTGAAAATTTCACTTGTCTGAATTTTGCGATGCGGTTCACCAACCAATGTTTATCAAAATGCATATAGTTGGGGGAAATGTGCATAAAAATGAATACATTAGTAAAAAAAACCCATCATACAAAAATGTGTTTTATTGGGGGGAAATGGCTTGCAAAACTGTGTACTTTAGTCAAAACTGCACACAAAAATATGTTTATTTGGAGGAGTTTGCACTAAAGCTCAGTCAGTAGAGCATGAGCCTCTTAAACTGGGTTTGAGCACCACATTGAGTAAAACATTCCTGCATTGCAGTGGCTTTGACCAGATGACCCCCCTTTGTGCCTTCCAATTGCATAGTTCTGTGATTCAGAAATGCTGATGAATTTTCATGAGGATTTTTTCCAAACGAATTGCTGCAGAACTGATTTTAATATTGGAAAAATGAGAAAGTGGGAGAACCAAAATTGACAGCTTCTTTCATCCCTGGTTTTGACTAAGTATCGCTCCAGCTTGTCACAGCCCCTGAATCCTAACTATTCTCTTAAAGCCTTCTGTGATGCTATTAGTTCCAGTTCCCAGTCTGCCAGAGGTGCAAAAAGCTTTTCTCTGTGCATGCAGAGGTAGCTGATGCTGTTGCCTTTCCCTCCCACTGATGGGGTGGTTGATGGGGGCAGGGTCATGCCCACATCATTTTGTTCTGTCTATCTGCTCGTTTAGATACAGCAGTTATTTTGTGTTAAGCCATATCCATTTTGTGTTTTGTCACACAATCCATGACAGCTATTTTGCAACTAGAACCCATGGCACTTTTGCAAGTTTGAGAAAGTGCCTACTAGCCCCCAAAGGACCTGTGTTAGGTTTAGCACCCCCACATTTGCTTGCATACTTTCCTTCCTGCAGTTTGAGAAAGGCTGGTGATTTTTGCTCTGCCGGAGTTCTCTTCATTGGCACAGTATATGCCTAAAAGCATATTGTATCTGCGGATAGATGTTCTGCAGCAGGAACATTTCCTGATGAGTTAGGCCATACCTTCACAGTTGTGTTGGGTGGTGGGCCAGGTCAAATGTGCTTCCCTTAGACCTAAGTGGAGTGAAAGTACTTCCTGCCCCTAATTTTTCCATTTCTTTTCTCCTTGCCACAGGCTGGGCTGGAAGCAGCTGGCCAGGAACAGAACCAATTCTCAGGAGAAAATTTGCTCAGGGAGCATTGCTGTCCGTGCTTCGCTTTCAACATCTGCTGAGGAAGAAGTGGCTGGCGCCTTGTGTTCTGCTGTGTGAAACTGGGAGAGGAGCTGGCCTGCAAACACCTTAGCTGGGGGAGAACAGGTTCCCCAAAGGAGCAAGAGGTAGGATAAAAATCAGGGTGGGTGGGGGTAACATGTTTGCACTATTATGGCTGCTAGAGAGAACCCTAAAGTAAATGGAGCACTCTTCGTATCATTCTGACATATTCAATATCTTGACCAATGATATGCTAGATTTCTGTAGCATTCTTTAGAACGACGGGAGAAGTATTGGTGTTAATGGACTATTTCTTTAATGAGGTTGCATGAATAAGGGGCCAAAAGTTGATTGCCTAAGACAGGGGTAGTCAATATACCCCCTCCAGATAAATTTAGATTGTTGTCTGTAGCTGATGGGAGTTCAGAAACATACAGAATGCAGTAAGCTGGCTACTTCTAGGGCACCTATGAAGTTCGGGGGTTTCCTGGATCATACATTTCGCCACTGTGCTACACCAGCATTTTGTGTCTGCATGTGTCCCAAATGTATGGAGAACCGAGGAGGCATGTCTTCTGTATATATTCAACACTGCATATATTCCCTCTTGCTTTTGGCTTTTCACATACTGCACTATGAACAGCAACTCTCCACAATACAGTAGTATTTATTGATAGAAAATCTCAGTTCAAGTTAGCTTTTGTACATGCTACCAACATGTACAATGAAAAAGTATAGTCTGTTGATTCTCATTACTATTATTATTATTATTATTATTAGTAGTAGTAGTAGTATTTTGCCATTTAACTTGACAACATTTATTTTAACTTTTGGGCGTTTATACATTGCCAAAATGTACTTTCAATATTAATATAGTTTAAATAATATTTTACTCTTGAAATGTCCACTTTTTAAGCTTAATATTGCTCATGGTAGTGCAGTTTTGTTAGTATTATAATAGCTCAACCATTCCTTTCAGACCATAAACAGCATCTTAATAAAACAATGAGCTTTTTATATAGAGATCTACACAGTTGATTAGGAGTCTAAAATGAAGCCTGTGTTTAAATCAAACATTTTTACAGTACAACAGATACATTTTATACATTTTTGGAATCCCTCTTTCTATGTGGGTTATTACATTGCTGGGGGGGGGGGGAACACCGCCAAGAGTTTGTGGTAACATTTGAAAAACCAACAGACCAACCAATCGACTGACCCACCTACCCATCTGCAAAGCCCCCTAAATACTGGGGAGGTGTGAAGGATTTACGTATGCCTAGCTGGAAAGTGATTTGGTATGTCACTGGAGTTTGAATATTCAAATATTACTCTTAAGTATTTGCTACTGCAGGACAAAAAATGGCCAAGGTGGAGGGAAATTGGAAGCCAATGATAATGCAGTTTTGGCCTTTGGCAAAAAAAACCAGTCAGGGAAACCAATAAAAAGTTTAGGGATTATCTAGTTTAATCTACCTGTGCGGCACAAGCCCCTTGCGTAAGATGTCCTTTTCCTAGGTCTTTCCAACTTCTTTTAAAATGCTGGAGGGAGGGAAAAATCTACCCCTTTCCCTCAATAACTTGTTTAAATGTCCAGCCTTTTTCAGACTTGCACATTTTGTCCAACAGCTACATCTGAACTCTTCGGCTCTCTGCCCTTCCTGCACCAAACAGCTGTTCTCCCATCTCTCATTATTTTAGCATTTTAGTTATAAAATTATCTTATTACCCACCCCCACCCCCCAGTATTTTATTTAGGGCAGAGGTTCCCCCCGCCCTACATTACTCTCTATTCTGCCTTTATTGTTTTGACTGCAAGGAATGCTTGAACATCTGTTGCACAACAGAACCACTGCATATTGCAGGATTCTGGAGCATGTCCTACACTCCTTTTGTGTGGAGTGCTAGCTCAGCTCTTGGGCTCATGCAAGTGGTGGGAGCAAACTTCTTAGAACGTGCCCAACACTCCTCTGATGGTGTTATATGTCATGGGAATGTGGGCAATGGGCAGGCATGCCATCTTCCAAACCATTTGCTGATGCTGTCACCTAAAAGTCCACACCCGGCTTCCCAGAACCTTCAGGATAGATAAACTGGGACGGTTTGAAAGTGACTTCTCTTTAGGCTACATTTGCCATGCCCTGTCAAGCTTGTATTTATGCTATGCATTATTAGTAATGATGGAACGAGACATAATGGCAGCATGCCCATTTGTTCAAATGCAAGCTTGTCCCAATCAAACGTTAAGGGTGCATGTGGAAGTCTAGAGCAAAAAGGTCCTAAATTTTATCTCATGGACCAGCAACCTGCATTCAGGTCCCCCATGTGAGACTGGAGAAGGTCCTCTTATTAGCTAGGGAAAAGTCAGGGGTCCCTTTACACCCAGAGCCCAGAAATTCTGTTCTCTTGTCAACAGAAAGAGAAACAGCAGCTGAAATATATAGCTGCTACTGTTCTCGACAGTGTTTTTTTTAAAGTCTTTTGTTTATATTACTTAGCTTTTCATAGTAAACCACTTTACTTAATAAGCGTTAACATCTAAGCTTGTTTGAATTGGATGCCAAACAGAACAGCTTGCTTGTGCTATGCACAAAGCAGCAGCTCATTGTGGTACATTACTCCTGAAGGGCTTTGGCACGGGAAGCAGCAAGACAAGAGGTGGCTGTTGCTTCTACAGCTAATGGGAATCCCATCTTGTTACAAGCATGGCCATCTCAGGCCCTTAGAATTACTGTTTCACATCTGGACATCAACACACACTCACCACCCAAAGCAAATTTCTTTCCTATGTACAATAGACCCAAGTCAAAATGTGATGCTCAGATCGCTGTATGAAATGCTACCAAAGACACTGCTATGCCGGATGCGAAGTAACATTCAGTTTGATTTCTAAAACTGGATAATTTTTGATAACTGACATGCTTAAGTGCATGTTTAATTTCCATCCAGTTAATAGTAAAGAAAATAGGAACAACTTGTGTCTAAAATCATGGTGTATGAGATATATATACTTCATATACATTATGTCCATTGAGCCCTTCCTCCAACTAGATTTCCCGCATCTCTCCCCCCCCCCAAGTTTACTACAAAAGGAGAGAGGGTTGCTTATTGTACATTGGAAAGGTGTGCCTGGAAAAGTTAACTACAGTGCTAGGATCACTGACAAACCATATCTACATTACAATATATAGCTCTGCATCTGTTTATTTCTGCTCTAATACAAGTAGCCATTCTGACAAATTTTCTTATCTCTGGTGATAAAATATCAGGCAAAGATGAAACGATTATCATTGATTAAGAATACCCAACCAGTCACATGCTTCTTAAACCAACAATTAACCTGACACCTCACCGGCTAACAAACTCAGGAGGACCCCCTCCTGAAAGTCCTATTACACGACCATCACTTATTAGAAACTCAAAATAATCCTCATTAATTTCATATTGGCCATGTAGCTTCATGTTATCGTAAGTTGTAGCAAATAGCAATGTAGTATGTGCGCTTCAGCATCAGATTCTTCCAACTTTTTTTGTGTTTTTAAATCTGCTTGAAGCAATTTGACTCAACAAGGATAACTGTATTCCAGTACTCTGGCCAAAGGCCATTTTCCTTCTGCGTTCAGCACTGCAGCCAGTACACTGCTGGTATTAAATGTTAAATTGCAGTAGTTGCGGTATCATTCCAATAAGGCTGTGCATTGCATCACTATGTAAATGATAATGAGTACCATACAATGTAAGGGGATGCGGGTGGCGCTGTGGTCTAAACCACTGAGCCTCTTGGGGATGCCAATCAGAAGGTCGGCGGTTCGAATCCCCGCGATGGGGTGAGCTCCTGTTGCTCAGCCCCTGCTCCTGCCAACCTAGCAGTTCGAAAGCACGTCAACGTGCAAGTAGATAAATAGGTACCGCTCCAGCGGGAAGGTAAACGGCGTTTCCGTGCTGCTATGCTTTTGCCAGAAGTGGCTTAGTCATGCTGGCCACATGACCTGGAAAAACTGTCTATGGAAGCAGACAAAAGCCGGCTCCCTCGGCCAGTAAAGCGAGAAGAGCACCGCAACCCCAGAGTCGTTCGCGACTAGACTTAATTGTCAGGGATCCCTTTACCTTTACCTTACCGTACAATGTAGAACTGCAATATTTTTATAAGGTAAAGGTAAAGGTACCCCTGCCCGTACGGGCCAGTCGTGTCCGACTCTAGGGTTGTGCGCCCATCTCACTTAAGAGGCCGGGGGCCAGCGCTGTCCGGAGACACTTCCGGGTCACGTGGCCAGCGTGACGAAGCTGCTCTGGCGAGCCAGCACCAGTGCAGCACACGGAAACGCCGTTTACCTTCCCGCTATAAAACGGTACCTATTTATCTACTTGCACTTAGGGGTGCTTTTGAACTGCTAGGTGGGCAGGAGCTGGGACTGAAAGACGGGAGCTCACCCCGCCGTGGGGATTCGAACCGCCGACCATACGATCGGCAAGTCCTAGGCACTGAGGTTTTACCCACAGCGCCACCCACGTCCCTGCAATATTTTTATACTTACCAACAATTGTTAAATGATGGAGACCCAGGTCCCCCTCTTCCTCTGCTGCACTATTTCAAACATATTATTTTTCATTAATTATATTACACCAGATTAAACAATGTACAGAAGTGGTCTATATTTTCCATGGGTTGTGATGGTGGATAGGATACTGTTTAGATATCAATTTACTGTTTGCTCTCTGAAATGTTATATACCTTTATTTCCTTTTCAGCCATGCATTCTGTCATATTGGTTGTTGCATTCTGACTTCTTCTGGGGTGGGGAATGAACACCTAACCAAGAGCGTTAACTCACATTTTAGGGCAGTTACATTAATCTTGCAAGTCTTGATGCCTCACGGGAGCAGAACCTGCTCTGTTGATTCAAATGTTTGGCAAAGAACTGCTCAGTCATTTTCTCACACTGGAGTTTGTGGATGAATGGCTAAGCTTTCCCTTCTTTCATGGGGGGGGGGGAAGTAAGCAGCGTACTTGGGGCTGGATAACCACGTGGATCCCCAATGATGGTCAGTCAGCTCTCACTGCAAGGAAGGGGCAATACATACTGGAGTTTCCACTGTAGAGAAAAATTTAATATATACATCTATAAATAAAAAAAATAACAGAGGCAATAGCAGATGGAACAGTGTGGCCAGCTTATCAGTCCACAGTAGCACAGTCTCAAAACTCTTTGTTTTCTTTTTCTTCTTCAAAAAAGGACGGACCACATGTGGTGGGGAGGGAGGGAGGGAGGAGAGGAAGGACTCTCAGCTTGTAGGGGCAGTGATGCCAGACATTGCTCAGAAATTCCTCACCTCAGGCTATCGGGACCTAAGGCTGTCCTTCACACCTAACCTAAAGCAAAGGAGGATCAGGATTTCTCCTCCTCTTGTCCCAGTCCCTTACAAGTCCTCAGCAGCACTACTAAAGGGAAACAGCACACAATTTATCTGGACAAATGGGGAAGGAATCCCTTTCTGCTGTACTCTGCTGCTATAGCTGCACTAGAGATGAAAATGTTAGACCCCCTAGCATACTCTCCCACTCATACTGTTGTATGAGATGTTGGGAACTGCTTCTGTGCTAACCTCCCCTTGTTGGTTCGAAGATTACTTCTGCACTTAGCAAGCATGAAAGTCTATGTATTTGTGTACGAGAGTGCAAAATGGTCTCGTATCTTGTGGAGAGCCCTCCCCCCCCCCCGGGTTTCGTAGGTAGATGAGAATTCTCTCAAGTCTGGCAACATTGCAACAGAACACGCTTTATGCTGCAGAAACATACACACAGAATATTATGCACACATTGGGGGGGGGACATACATACGCGCACAGACATACACACACACAAGCAAGAATGTGTATTTAGATGGAGGATTCTTGGAAATAGACATTCTTAGCAAATATGGATGACAGATCAATTGTAATTTATTTTCTTTTTAACACTGTATCATCATAAAGAAAACTGGTATAAATGAAAAAATCTATTTCAAATATCTACATCTAAAATTTTAGGCAGTGAAAAAGCACTTCGTTGACAAGGAGTGTGGAATGATGAATGTTAATTGTCAGAAACTGCTGAATGCCTTTTTTTTTTTAGTTGCCACAAACAAATTCACATATCAGAACGAACAATACTGCTAAATATTCCGTTGGTTTTTTTTGTTTTTTTGTTTTGTTAAAACGCACTGGGGAAAAGAAAAGGAAGAAAGGAAGGAAGAAAAAAACAACCCCTCTCCCCCCCCCTGGAAATTCATACATATTTCAAAGTTTTGAAATTGAAGCAATATTTAGAACCATAGATGAAGAAACACTGTGGCATTGGTGTAATATACACAATGCACTTCTCTCTCTCGCTCTCTCTCGCTCTTAAATCTGTAATGTACATCAAATACTTTGCAACAATGCATTAACAAAAGGCAAGAAACATCTTGCTGTACAGAGGAAACCTCAAATGCAACTTGAAGCCTAGATTCACAATGGATGAGGAGAGGAAACAAAAGTGTGAGAAGCTGTCCCCCTTAAGGTTTTGTAAACTATTCATTTTCTTGTGCTTAACTCTGGTCCTATGTTGGCTGTTGCACCTTCTCCTCTTTCCTTCAGCCACATTCAATATACAGCACTATTTGTTTTACACTCTACATACAAGGGCCAACCGCAAAGCTGCCCCCCTCCCCACAATATATTTCTATATCTATATATATAGAGAGACGGGATTATATAGATACAGAAATACATATACATTTCCCCCCTTTCTAATGACACTCCCGTGCTTAATGTCCAAATCTTTTTAGCCATCTAAAAGCATCTTAAAGGTTTTCCACACTTGGTTATCAGGGCCTTCCTATGGAACAGGCTTTTAACAAACTAAATTTGCAGGAAAAAGAATGTCTTGTGGTATGCATGCACATGCACAGTTCCCGGAGCCGTTTTGTTTTTGTTTTTTTCCTTGCCCAAATCTCAAACCCAGGAATCTGGAGATGCAGGATAGTGGCTTGTTTCGTAATTGAGTTCACTGTAGGGCCGAGCAGCTGAGTAGAAGTCGACGTAGTTCCCGGTGGACTTAAGTCCCAGATGCATATTGTACTCGCTTGCAGGAGGACGGTGATGTACTTGGTCCTCAAAGAAGGACTCGTCATAGTTTCTTGTTGAATTCTGAAATGGCTGATATGGTTCATAATCTTTTCTAGTGGGCTCCTGTGGAACTGGCTGTGTTGAGACCTATCAACAGAACAATAAGCCTCAGCTTGTTAGGTATTAGTGCTGCGATGGGGGAATCAAGCTATCGTTTAGGGAGGAAGATAAGATGCTTCCACTTTAACAATGCTTATTAGGGCTGGCAGTATGAATGCTTCCAACATTTCAGCAGCTGCATTCATAATCTCTTAGGCCCCCACCCCCCGAATTAATTGCACTGTTTTGCTTGATCTTCCTAAATGGACTGCTTTGCACTTGCATTGATTACTGCTCCTAACAGACGTTTTGCTTCAAGAGACGGTTAAAGAGCAAAGGGTCTGCTGCAAGGGTCGCCAAGCTTTTTGGGACTGTGGTTACATCTGCAAACCAGAGAAAGAATGGAAGAAAAAGGCTTCGGAAATGTCTCACGGTACATAGCTTAAAGCTGATTCCCTTTCCCAGGCACTTTTCTGCTGTATCTTCCAAGCTCCAGTTAAAGCAGCATGAGAAATAAACTACCAATAGTTTTCAAAGTATTAAATTGGAAGAACACCAGAAGCTCAGCAAGATGACAAGGAGCTAACTTCCTACATTGTGCTTCCTGCCTCACATATTCAGGCAGTAAGCTAATTGAAATTACAGTGGTACCTTGGGTTGCAAACTTAATTTGTTCCAGACGTCCGGTCTTAACTTGAAGCGTTTTTAGGCATGCAATTCCTACATAGGCCTCCCGCGGCCCCGGAAGCAGATTGCGTTCGGGGCAAAGTTCGCAACCTGGGACACCTACTTCCGGGTTTGTGGAGTTCATAACCTGAAGCGTCAATGTATTGAACTTTTGAGTCCTGAGTACTTATTAAAGAACTCCAGAAGCAGGCACACTGACACACAAACATGATCCCTTCTTTTCAGCAGACACAAAAGACACTTTTTTTTTGCTCTGCTTTTAATGACAACAGATGTATCCCCTGATCTCATGATCCTGCTGATCTATACTGCTGATATGATTGATGGTATTATCTTGTTTTAATGTATTTTTGTGCAGATGCAATTTAATTTGTTGCCCTTGGGTTTGGGGACTTTAGGAACAAAAAATGGCATACAAATAAATGTCTAATAATAATAACTGTTATTTTTTCCCCCAGGCTTCAATTTTGAGAAGTTCTTTTGGTCTAAGATGTTTAACAGAGTGCAGTCCAGAGGTAAGGATACTTTTTGGTGTTTGACTGGGGTAAAATATAGCTCATTCCGCACAGAATGCCAGAAAAACAAACTGGATTGAAAATGTGCACTCTGTCTGCACTGCTGGGTAAGATGCTGCAAGTCCAATGCAGCTCAGGCAGGAGGAATCATTGGACTGACCTCTGTTGAACTGCGGTGTCACCCATATAATGGCCAGAGATTGCACTTCAGCCTAGCCAGACCAAGGGCTCTCTCTCTATAATTGTTGCACAAGCCTTGCTCCCCCAGTCTGAGCAACTTCTTGCTCAAGTAGCCAAGTAGGCACTGCCTTGTCCTACTGTCTTCTCTGGAACCTGACCCTCGACCCTGATCACACTCTCCCTTTGGCCCTTTAAGCCATAGTCTTTTGCTCCTGTTCAGACCTTACATGTTTGGATTATCTTCTGCATAATCTACTACCTTCAAACCAAGGTTTGCTCAGCAAGGCATGAGTTACAAACAACTCATAGCTTGTTCCTGCAACTAGTGGTTTGTTTTCCAGTTGCTCTTCTCGTGTCTCTGCCAAATGTCTGGGGTGAAGTGGCCTAGCAAACCATGGTTAAGCAAGGTTGTTGAATTCAAACATAATGCCAAACTATGGTAAAACAAACCATGATCTGTAAGCTAGGGGGCTCACACTGTGGTTTGTTGGCAAAAACAACAACAACAAAAACCACCCCAGCTAGTTTTCAAACAAATCATGGCTAATTGTCATGTGTCATCCAACCACAGCTCCTCCCATTAGCAAGGCCCAATGAAACAGCAGCAGAAGAGAAGCCATCTTCTTTTCCTATATTTTTGTTACAGAAAATGTCAGAACACCATTAACCAGAAATTCTTCCAAGTTTTGGCAGGGCATCCTGACATTTACTAATACATCTCAAGGCTAAATTATATTGACCAGATGTAATCCTTTTTCCTTAGCCTTAAGATGACATTTACTTAATTTTTAAGATGGCAGATTGGTAAATTTCCAAAACAAGCATCATAACACAGATATTTGTGACATTTACTGATGCTGCTCAAAAAGAACATGGTCTTCAGCAACTGACGAATTCTACTCTCATTTCCATATTTGACCAGTAAATGTTGGCATTTCCCAGGGCTAGATTGGTCTCAACTAGGGCCAGGGCCTTTCAGTACTGACCCCGACTTGGTGGAACGCTCTGTCACAAGAGACTAAGGCCCCGTGGGACTTCTTTCCACAGAGCCTGCAACGCAGAGCTGTTCTGCCTGGCCTTTGGTGTGGACTCAGTCTGACCTTTGTGTTTTCCCCTCCCCTTATGGTTTTGATCTATTGGCTACTTTTAAAATGAGGCTGCATTTTAACCTGTATTTTAAATTGGTCCCCCCAATTATGTTTTTATTGTAATTTTACTGGTGTTAGCTGCCATGAGCCTGGCTCTGGCCGGGGAGGGCAGGGTATAAATAAAATTTATTATTATTAGATGGGAATAGTTAAGAAATGTGAAGCAGAGAACTGTTCTTCATATATTATGAATCCTATAGAATCCTTGCATGCATATTGTTAATACCCCTCCCCGAAAAGCATTAACAATTAACAATTGCTATCAGATAGTTTTATACAAACTTTGATTGGAAAAAGTGATTATATATTTCCTTCTTGCAGGAACACTGCTGGAGTGGTGGTGATAGAGACAAAGGTAGGAATAATTGAACTTTGCTTTCCTTATCATTAAAAGACTACATCATTATTATGCCCTCATTCCTGTGCTGGAACTAGTATAATACTAAGTTTATCGTATTAATTCTATATTATTTTCAAATGGCTTTGATTCTATATTTTCGAATTACACTGTATGAAAATCATGAGCATTTAGGCCATCACTTTAATTTGAAAAATAAAATTTGAAAAATAAATAATTTGAAAAATAAATATAAAGCAAGAGTTTGGCAACAGTTTCACAACCAATGAATTGCTCTGGCCACATACCTGGTTGTGTTTAATATCTTCAGCAGGTGCACCATAAGAATTTCTGTACAAAGTAGAGATTCCAGTGTTCTGAGCTGAAGATGAGAAGGGGGGAGAAAAGGGAATTGTGTTACCAAACAGAAAGCCAGCTAGTAGCAAGTGAAAAGGGTAATTCGTGGTTTAAAGAGGCAAGCATCATAATGCATTTCTTAGCAATCAGTTATGCAGGCACATTGAAAACGGTGTACACAGTTCTGGTGATGGCCCCATTTCAGTTAGGTTATTGCAGGACTGGAGCAGTCACAGAAAAGGTGAATTAAGATGATGAAGGTTTTGGAGCATTTTCCTGTGAAGAAAGGCTAAGCATCTTGGGGCTTATTAATTTAGGAAAAGGGCACTAAAAGGGGAAACGACAGAGATGTATAAAATAATCAATACGCTATGACAGAAGGGATTTTTCTTCCATTAATACACCAGAACATGGAGTCACTCAATGAATTTGATTGTCAAGAGCTACAAGCCATCTATATTTGTTCACAGAACAGATAATTATAGCATGTGGCATTCATTACCCCCTAATGGCTCATTATCTCCAGTAGGATTGAAACCCAAGAGTCAGGAACATCATAGCATATCATAGTCTAAACTGCAAATTCGCCATTTTGCATGTAAACAAACCACTTGTGGCCATATAGAACTTGGCTTTTAAAATAGCATGTGAATCACTTATAAACACCAAGGTTGTGATTGTTTAGGAAAGCCTTAGCAGAGGAACGGAATGATCGTAAGAGGGCAGTAGGGAAGAATGCACTCTTGTAGGCAGCCTCGTTCCAAGTGCTTCAGGGCTTTGTAAGTCAAAACCCAAACCTTGAACATGGTTCAGTAGCTGGCAAGCAGTGCAATTTAAAAGTGTTGCAGCATGCATGTAGTAAAGCACCCCAGTGAGTAGCACAGCCGTTGCATTTTGCAGCAGCTGCGGTTTCCAGACCAATGTCAAGGGCAGCACATTACAGTAGTCCAAGCTTGAGGTTACCAATGTGGCCAGACTATTCCTTTGCTGAATGGGTCCTGGTTGTCCCTTGTGGCAAAGTCAGACAAGTGTGACATTAGCTGCTTGTTAGCTTTCTGAGATCTTTATATGGACGTCACGCTGGGTTCATTCTTCCTCCTCCTTTGCGAGGCCACTTTATGTGGGTGCTTAGAAATTTGGAGTGAGGTGGCATCAAGCAGCTCAATCAAAAAGCTCTTTTTTTAAAAAAAATTGGACAAGGGTGTTGTAGTTTTGATTTTTGTAAGGAGGCACTTGATAATAGTGAAGCTGAATAATAATAATAATAATAATAATAATAATAATAATAATAATTAATAATAATAAAATAAATAAGTAATAGGTCTGGTGACATGGGAGAGGCTGTATATCTGAACACATAATAGATACAGTATTGGAACCAAATCTTGTTACTAGTGGGGATGAAATGGAAAACTCGCCCCACTCTTTAGTCCAGATTCCTTCAAGTGTCTGGGAGTAATAGGCTCATTCCACTAGGGGTATTACCTGGGAGTAATAGGCTCATTCCAATAGGAATTCTTGTTGCTGCTTTCTTCCATCATCTCCCTTCCCTGCTAGCACTTAAGCACTTATTCAGAGGCAGGATATGTGCACACGTGTTTGATATCTTTATGCTATTGGAAAACATATATCTGTACATGCAACGCAATCTGAAAGAAGACCTTTGTACAATATCTGGCCAGGGGGAGTTTTAAAAAAAAAGGCCCACAAAGCTGCAATTTTGTAGTATGTTTTATTGAATTGTTGTTAAGATTGGCTGAGCCTGTTTTGTCTTCATGCCTGTTGAGGTTCTTTTTCAAGGTGATGTATACATTTCATACACAAAGAGAATATGTTTTTCTTTCATTTATTCTTCCCTTTCTCTTCAGACGAGGCTTCATTTGATGTGGTAGCAACGTGCCCCGAGCTCAGATGAGGTAACCTGAAAAAGCAAATAAGACTTGTGATCTCTGTTGTCAATCAGATAATGCAAACTGTTGTAGATCAATTATTTTTTGGCTTTGTTGTCTAAGCTTATCGCTCATGGTGTGCTGAATATGACAGGGCAGCAATGAGGATATTCCTTGTGTATATTTGTGCCCAATTAAAACAAGCGAGTGTAGAGGAGGCAGAGAGAAAATTGCAGGCAAAATGGGGCGGAGGGGAGAAGGGGTTGGTGGTCAAATATGTATGAAAAAGCACTGGTGTAGCAGCCAAGATGAAAAAGACAGAGTAGATAAAGTGCAATAAACTTTTTTTGCCTTTACTAGAGCTTGCTTAATATTTTTTTAATTGCATGAAATTTATACACTGTTTGAGTGTAATAAAAAAAGCCCTTAAAGAGTTTACAAAAAGATGTAAATTTTTATTGATGCCATTAAAACAGAGAAAAAGTTAAGATTAAAATTCACAATGGCATTTCTAGCAGGCAGCAAAAAGAATACAGTGAAGGCGCCTGGTTGATAATCTGTAGGTAGGGAGTTTCAAATAAGCTTGAATGTGCTGCAGCTCCTATAAAGTATTAATATATTTGTATGGCCTTCTGCGTTACCAAATTAGATCCTGACAAGCGAGCATGTCTCGCCTGTCCTCCAAAATCCAGGCATGAACTTTAGAGACAAAGCACAAATGTCAGCTGAGGCCGACATTAGGCCTGCTTCACAGGTTAAGTTTTTTGGGGGAACATTTTAATGTAAAGTGTGAATGTGCAAAAGTTGCATTATACAGATGCTGGAATTGGCCATTAGTAAATGTGTGATGTGACGACCCTCACTTGGTCTCAAACACTGCAATCCAACACTAAAAGCACAATACCTTGTCGGAATGTGGAAGCTGCCTTTCAGCTGGTCACGAATTCTTGATGGATCAGTATCTAGTGAGGAGCGAAGGATCCCACGCTGGCTATGACATAGCTTTTGTACAATTTGTTTCCTCTTTTGGCTCCGTTAGCTGAAATCCTGGTGAAAACCTGAAGGATTTGGCGATCAGTGGTAGCAAATTGTGTTAGATCCTCAATGGAACAGAATTGCTGTTGAATGAGACGTCGTTTAGAATGGCCGCAGCTCCCGATTCCTGGTACCATTCAGAACCTCAACAAGGAAAGGAAGTCTAGAGGTTCTGTAGATTTCAAGTCCAATGCTGTGATGGAGGAATTCTTAAAAAATTAAGAAAGAGCCAGATGGGATCCGTACCACTAGGGTTTGGGATCTTCTCATCCCTGGGTTCCACTGTCTAGTTCCTTTTCTGTAATGTAGGGTTTCTCGTATCATCCTATGCTATTTTCCATTCTTTCCTAGGTACATTGCCATTGGGCTTGCCAACCCAGAATTTATTCTCTTCCCTCGGACTTCCCTTGCAGCCCTCCTCACACTCACTCTCAATCCTCCCCCCCCCTTTGGTCTCTTTCTGCATCTGTGCAGCCTCTCCCGCAAATTCCCTTGGATCTCCCCCCTGACCCTCCAAGCATCCTGACTTTTTGAAGCTGCAGTGATGCCAGGAGGCAAAGGCATCTTCTTTCCATTATTTTCCTCCAAGCCCAGTGCTGTGATGGAAGGCCATTTAAAACGGCCTAGTGCGCCTGAATGTCCTGTGGTTTACCACCTCTGGAATTAAATATTACGAATGCTTATTATTTACTTTTGTTAATATTTATACATACAATTTCCCACCTGTTCTCTTGGTAGCTGAGCCTCCCTCCATCTCACCATGCTTGTATGTTTCACACCCAGGGGGCAAATGTTGCCCCCTTGGAAATGAAGGGGGAGAGAGCTTACTTCGACAGCCATTTCAATAAAGTGAAAAGTGAACAGCTCTAAGTTTAAACAGGTTCTGTGCACAACCAAACATGTCCAGGGAAGCTGCAACAACACATTTCCACCTCTCTGTTGCCTTCTGCTTAAACTTTTGGTTAATGTAGGGACTTGCTACAAATATAAAATTGTGCCTGCAGTGGGGAATGGAAGATGAGCCGCCACCGTGCAAGGTGTCACAACTGGACAGATGCTTTGGCATGATAGCAGCACAAGCCCAGCGAGTGCTTAGCTTGGCAGATGGGTAGGTGCTGAGAGGGGAGAATGTCACCAAGCTGCGGCCAAGGCAGATTGGTCACAGCTACCTTTAGCCACCTGCAGTTGCATGGTTTTAAATCCTCCCAAATTACAGGACTAGTCAACATGCACAAGGCCTCTTAAGATGTCCTCTTCACAAGTGTCCCTGTTCAGGATTCTGTCAAGTCGGCTGGTGCCTCCCTCTTGTGTGTGTATTTGGACAATAATTTTTAGCGTGTAGTAAGTTTGTTCTCTGTCTAAGCCCAAATCTGAGTTGGATGGGTGGGGCATAACCAGAATGAGTGGACAAGCCTACAATCTCTCTCCCTTTCAAGTTATTTATTTTGCCAATCATTTCCCACAACTGGCAGAAAGCGCCAAATTTAGGCAGCAGTTCCCAACAGCAGACTTGGGTGAGATAGTTCTCTCCCAAATCCACTAATGCACTTTATTGCCTCCCCTCACAGCCCCCTAGTGAAAGGGGGGAGACACACGAAACATTCCTCTAGGTTGGGGTGCAGGAGCTTTCTGGCTCCATGGGCCAGATCCTGCCTGCTCTGCCCAGAATAATCTGGCCTCTGCTTGAGAGGAGTGGCAGCTCTTTCAGAAAGCAACACAAACATCCAGGTCTTAAATATCCAGTAGCTAACACCAATGAATAATTAAGCTGCTTCCTCAAAGCTTTGGAGGAACGAGATATTTTTCACTGAGGTGTGCCTAAAGAGAGTAGGAAAAAAATTATACTCCCTACGGATAAAACAGATAAAAAGATATAAATGAAGTCCTGGTGATTAGAGTACTCATCTGATGCGTGGGTATTCCAATTTCTGCTAAGCCATACGATATTCATGCAAAAGCTATAGCTAGAGATCACGACACGTGCTCATCTAGGGTTACACCACAAAGCCAAAATGTGTAGTGCAAGTCACGTCTCTGCCCTTCTGTTTGGGTGGGTGGGGGGAATGTTGTTATAAAACCAGATAAAACCTCTTTTCCCCATGGAAGAAAAAATACTATTAGAATGCAAGCTTCTCTCCTCTACGAAGCTTTATCACTGAATTAAACATTATGCTGCAGGAACAGAAATCATAATTTCCTATCTAACTCAGCAATGCTTTATTGCTTGCAGCTACAATACAGACCTGTTTAAATGTACGACACATACAAAATATACGGGCTCAATTTATGGCTACTAGTAATATCACAAGTACAAGGAAATGTCAGCTGGAGCTCAGATCGCAGCATAATGATAAACAATACAAATACACATCTACATTTGGGAAGGACTCTAAAGATGCTCCGCAAACCTTAAAGCCTGCAAATGTGTTGCATACTGCAAATGTGTTGCATATGCAATACTTTTGCTTCAATTGTTTTTGAATGTATAACATGCGACAACATCTGCCTCACCTGTCATTGTGTCTTTCCTAGAAGTGTGCTCTCCTTTATTTCCATAAGTAGCATTTGTTCCAGTTGACTCGTAGTCTGTTTTTCTTTCTTTTAAAGTGATCATTTCCCGAGGTGAGGCTGGGGCACTTGCTAGCAAACAAAAACAAATTTGGATTTTTAACCTCTCTCATCACACAAGTACATACAAAACCTACCGCTGGTGTAAATACATAAACAGGCACAAATGCTTAGGAATGATGGTACTTCGACCACTTAACAATAACCTTATATGCATCTACATTAAGGGTAATCCATTTTGATAGAAAGGCTGGAATCATTTAGCTCATGTTAGCTCAACCAGATGTTAACCTGATGTTAACCAGATGAAAACCTGAAGCATCTGGGGGGGGGGGAAAGCAGTTAAATTTAACAATTGTCACTCAAGGAGTCTGGAATTCAGTGTATTCAAATACCTATACATAAGATACCAAGAAAAAGGCTATCTAGACATCGTACAGAAGTTAGTCTTATGTACAACTGCTGGACATTAATTTAGGAGGTGGTGCCCCCCTCCCCAAAGACAATGATTATACCATAGCATGCATAAATGAAACTAGTAGTATCTGTTTGGGAATACCCTCCCTCCTTTCTGACCCCTCTGAAAAGGGACCACTAATTACACCAAAAGGCACATGGCTGAAACTTGTAAATGTAATAATAAACAGAACTGGACAGAGACCACCCTCCTGTACTGTAAATAGATATAGCTTGACTGCTTTACAGGAGACAATCCTCAAGTCAGACCATTTAGCATGGCTGGAGACGTCACAGTTTCCTCTGCTACTGAAATTATGAACTCTCTCAGCAATAAAGTAAACGTAAACAGTTATTGCTTGCTGTAGGAATAAATACTTTTTAAATTTATATTTATCAAGTTATGAAAACAAGTAACATCCCAGTGCAGACTCTCTATTATCCTGTCATACTTCACCCCAAGCCACCCAAATTTCCCAATCTCCAGCTAAATTTGCAAGCTTGCACGAAGCCAATAGTGTAACACAAAACTAATTAAATTATGAGCCTCCCTCCCTCACTGTTAATCTGGGTCATTTGCTTCACTCATTTGGAAAAGCAATTGTGTTCTTCAATATTTTATCCATTTTTTGACAATGGAGGCTTACTTTAGCCCTATTTGGGGTCCCACCACCTCCATGCAGTGCAAATTGTGTGAGGGACAATGGGGGTGCACATCCAAATCCTGCCCCCGTGGGTCCATAACATTTCCTCCACGTATCTCTCTCTCTCTCTCTCTCCATGAGCTGAGCAGTAAATTTCTGCGTGGGGAGCCTCCTAGACACAAATCCAGCCAACGAATGCATGACAGTGGGGCACCTCTGTAGCACACACAATGAAAGCACAGCATTCTCATGCCTTCAGTGGCAGAGCCAGCAACAACCCAGGTCGTGTCAGTCCTTAGGCACTCCTCTAAACAGGGTTTTGGATTCCCTTATGCTCCTCACGAGCACAACAAACAACTAAAATACCCAGAACTAAAATACCCAGAACTAAAATACCCAGCAGAGACTAAAATACCCAGCAGATATTTTAGCAGAGACTAAAATACCCAGCAGATAAATACTTAGAACTAAAATACCCAGCAGATGAAGTTAAACAACAGATCAACAGAGCCAGACTGATACCCAGAGAGAACTTGCTGCAAGACAGACCCAAAAAAGAAAATAACAGAACACCTCTAGTCATCACATACAGCTCCCAAGTTAAAACAGTACAACGCATCATCAGAGATCTACAACCTCTCCTGGACAATGACAGTTCTCTTTCTCAAGCTCTGGGAGGAAGACCTTTCATTGCCTACAGACAGCCACCCAATCTTAAACAACTCCTAACCCACAATAATACTACAACCAGACTTAACACGGACACTGGCACCAGAGCCTGCAATAAACCCAGATGCCAACTTTGCTGCCACATACACCCGGACAACACCATTACTGGCCCCAACAACATCACACATACCATCTCGGGACTATTTAATTGCTCATCGTCTAACATTGTGTATGCCATCAAATGCCAACAGTGTCCTTCAGCTCTCTATATTGGACAAACAGGCCAAACCTTACGCCAAAGAATAAACAGACATAAATCTGACATCAAGAATCACAAGACAGAGAAACCAGTAGGAGAACACTTCAGTCTCCCAGGACATTCTATACAAGATCTCAAAGTAGCTGTTTTACTACAAAGGAATTTCAGAAATAGACTGGAAAGAGAAGCTGCTGAATTGCAACTCATTACCAAACTTAAAACCATGGAGAGACCTGGTCTGAACAAAGACATTGGATTCTTATCTCATTATACATGACAAAGCCATTTTTCACCTTCTCACCCCTTGCTTTTTCCTGTAAGACCTATTGCAGTCGTTAAGAGTCGTCAACAGGCTCATCTCAGCTATCTGCCAATCACCCATTCCCACCACCCTTCTGAGTAATACCCCTCCCCACCTTCTCACTATATAGAAGGATCTGGCAACTTCTGTTTCAGTGTATCTGAAGAAGTGTGCATGCACACGAAAGCTCATACCAAGAACTAACTTAGTTGGTCTTTAAGGTGCTACTGGAATGAATTTTTTTTGTTTTGACTATGGCAGACCAACACGGCTACCTATCTGTAACAACAAACAACAGTGAGGGAAGAAAGCCCACATAACACATAGTTCCCTGGGTGCAGAACACACACATCCCTTCTGCACCAAGGGCTCAGAAATCCACCCTTGGGTTCAAAAGAAGCAAGCAACCAAAGGAAGGGACCAGGCACGCAACAAGGGCGGTCACAGACACACATTTGGGTGACTCCATAGGGCAGTGATGGCCAAACTTGGCCCTCCAGCTGTTTTGGGACTACAATTCCCATCATCCCTGACCACTGGTCCTGTTAGCTAGGGATGATAGGAGTTGTAGTCCCAAAACAGCTGGAGGACGAAGTTTGGCCATCACTGCCATAGGGATGGAGTTGGGAAGTGGCAGAAAGGAGTCCAAGCATACACTAAGGGGGAAATGATGCTTTCACTTACCTTTGGCATCGCTTAAAAATGTGATGTCGGGGGGAAAAGAGAGGATGCTCCTGGGATTCAAATCCACACTGCAAAATGCCACAGAGCTGCTCCCTAACCTCTCAAGCACAGCAGCAAACAATCCTCCCACCCAAAACCCAGAGGCATCAAAGGGCACATATTTCTGTCCCCTGCCCCAACACCCAGACACAATGAACACAGGTATTGCAGAAAGAGACAGCTCACATTTTACACACAGAGGCTCCAGGTTAAAATTCAGCACCATATTAGGAAAAGCAGAGAGAGGAGAACACGATGGCTTACCTAAACCAATCAGGAGGGAGCACTACATGGGCCAATAGAATGGCTCCTGCATGAGACCAGCCCTCCCACTGGCAACCCATGTGATCAATCTCCCCCTTTCACCACAGCATGTTGCCTCACACCTTACCTGGCAAGGCTAGCCACTCAACAAGATTAAATCTCACTCCCTCACCCTTCTCACGCCCTCAAATACTGCCTTATACACCCTAACAGCAGCACCAACCCCACCTTGTGCACCCCCTCACAGTCTAGAGTACCTGAACAAATACAGAGAGGAGAGGCTGCTGAGCTCCTCCAACTCCCAGCTCGCTGCCTTCAGAGACCCATCCTGCAGCCTGCTGAAGGCATACCATTAGGCTAGGGTCAGGGAGGAGACCCATCTGCCACTCACTCGCAATGAAGAAGCAATACATATGGTAGAGTCAAAGTCTTTATTGAGCAGCACTTGGACGTCAAGAAGAGATCCTGAAACGGAAGGCAGTGTGTATGGTTGCCAACCAGTCCCTCTAGCAGGGCTCCTGTGCTTTGGACAGTGGGCTTTGCAGAGCAGCTGCAGCCGAGTCTCTTAACGGCACCCAAACCACATCAGGAAAGCCACTTGTTGCACTATTGGCTGTCATGGAGCCTGCGAGGATGAAGGTGGTGGAAGGAAGTAGGTCAGCAGCCCTACAGGAGAACCGCTTGGGAGCATCTTCCTTCCTGCTGTTGGTCAGACTGGGGCTCCCTTTTGGTTCGTGTGGATCAGGGTGCAATCTGTACCTGTGGGAGAGCAGCCTGCAGAGAGGACACCAAAAGAGACAGTGAACAATGAGCAAGAGGCAGCAGCTGGAGCAGGCATTCTCTCAGGCTGCATGCGCAGTGAGGATTTATGCATTCGCAGTGAGAGTGAGAAAGAGGTGCCAAAGGAGTACAGTGCCTGTGGTTATGCATCAGTAGCCCACCTGACATGGCGGTGGGGGAGAGACTGCAGAGACTGTGAATCCACTCACTTTTTCTCCTTTTGGGAGGGGGGGTGTCCAATAAAGCTTTGTATGTTTGATGACAGCTCGCTCTGCTCCTTGCACCTGGGCTGTGATCCTGTAAGACAAATGTGCGCGTGAGGGTTTGGCCAACTGGGGGAATGGCTGAAGTAGACTTTTGCCAACAAGCAGGTTACAGGCATGTGACGATGAGGACTTCCCCACAATCTGGGGAGCAGTGGAAGAGAGTTAGAAAAGACCATTCAAACAAGACAAAGCATTCACATTATTTCAAGGTAGGTTATGGAATGCATGGCAATGAAGTGTTTGAGAGGGAGGAAGTCATGGGAACTGCACTTTGAAGAATGAGTTTTCCATTTCCTTTGCTTACCTCTGTGGGGTGCTCTGCCCTGGCAGTCTCAGTTGTTGGAGTGAAGTTTGCTGTTGGGTGCTTGTTTCTGAAGTCTCAAAGTGAGGTACCTGTTAGGGTTCTAGGTAGACAAGTGTTAGCAACGTGCTCGAGTTCCTACATGTGTGTTGTGAGACCAGGCTGTTTCATGCAGTGTGCACAGTGCCTTTTTCACAAAGCCTGCCCCCTTGTAAGCTTCAAGTGTGCACAATATGTGGAGCCAGAGACCCATAGTCCAATGCTGCGTGCCTTGTCATCCAAATTATGAACTCTGTGTGTGTGATTACTTACTACTTGACTGGGAGCTGAGTTGTACCACATCCTGTGCTTGGTCATGTGTCATGGATGGTAATCAGCAATACAAGAGTGGCTATTTTTTAAATTTCCC